GTGTGATTTATTTGGTTTATACGCATTACTTAATTTTTATTTCTATTTTTTATATTTTATTATTTTTATTTTTTAAAAATATTATTATATAGAATATTTAAATATAATAAATACATGTAAAATTTTAATTATGTAAGTATATAAAACATATTAGTTAAATAAATTGATTTAAATAGGTCTTGTAAAGAGTTTAAAACTCTTATATTTGTTATTTAACTTGATATTTACAAATATATTATTTCCACACCTATTACTTACTTATTTTTTCTACAATTCAAATATGATAGTTATCTAAATAGATAAAAATACTTATCAACTTGTATTCAATACTCACCTCTAGTGCCAAATCCCTATCCCAAGTCACCTAAGCTCAAAGTCTAAAACCTATATTTTAATATATTTCAATCTTTTAGAGTTATATATATATATATCAATTAAACTTGAAATTATATATTAGAAGTATAGTTTTTACATTAAAATTATTAAATTACGATTAATGAATAAAGAGTTTTAATAAAAGTATTTTGTCATATCAAAAAAAAAAAAAGTATTTTGTAATTTTAGTATTAAAAATGTAATTTTAATGTATGACTAAAATTGAAAAGCACTTTTTACTTTACCTAATAAATGTTCAATTAATATTCACTTTTTGTTTGTTGTTTTGACTTATTCAGAATTAAATCTCATTTAATAGTTATTTGTTAATTAATTGTCACAAAGAAATAAGAACGCAAAAGGTAGAACTTCCAAACTATGTAAGGAGTTCTCAACTCCTAAATTCAAAATATCCTTTGCTGTTAGGTACGAGTAAATTGATGAAAAGAGACCTCTCTATTAGTACATATTGCACACTCTAATTATCAAACAAAGGGTACAATTGTCTTTCTTATGTACAAGAAACAAAAACGGAAAGAAAATCAAATCCAGATTCACATGCACATAATTCTCAATTTATACTAGTAAAGTAAAATGAGAAAAGAGAAAAAGCAAAATCAACAGAGCAACTGGAAAAATAAAATACCAAAAGTACCAACAAACTTCAACAGCATCACTACTTATCAGCCACCATCCCCACCACCCTCACCGCTGCCTTCCGCCGTAAGAGAAACACTCATTGCAGTAGCAGTCACCACTGCAGCAGCCAAAGCAGCGCCACCAGCAGCGCCCAAAGCGGCGCCACCAGCATCACTGCTGGTGGTTGCGTGAGATCCTCCATGTTCACTTGTGCCACCTGACTCAGGAGCAGCACCAGAAAGTTCCCTTCTTTTGCCACTTCGATGAGTCCTTTTATGAGAAGAACTCTCTGATTCTTCTCCACGCTTAGCTGCTTTCTGCTTCTGGCTCGCTGGAAAGCAAAAACATATGCCTTTGCCCTTCATCACTACTTCACCATCAGCTTAATATTTGTATGAGTAACACAAGAACTTGCTTATGCTTAAATATCATTTTTCTCATCGTTTTTGGCTTAGTCTATAAGCCTCACTGAAACAAGGCATCGTCAGTACAAAACAATAAAGCCTTTGTGTCTTTTCCTTTTATTTCTTTCCACATAATTTTGCCTTCTTGGGTCCGTCTCTTTTTTAAGACCCATCAAAGATTTTATGTGGTTTATAAAATCTCGGACTTAAGTTATTGTTAATAATAAGGTTAATTGATGTTGAATCTCATAAATATACACT